AAAAAATCAAATGAATGAACCTCACAAAATCAAATTAAGGTGTTTTCATTTCTACTCATGGCACTGATTACTACCATGCCGACACTGTTCCAGACAGCCGAGAAGCCGTCACGAATGATTTGTTATTTTTCTTTTTGCTGAAAACTGAGACTTTCGACTAATTTCATTGTATATAGAAGCTTGTGCAAATTGACAATTAAAAGGATTCTGCTTCTGATAGTTGAAATGACAATACACTTTTTGATCACCAGGGGGAGTTGTGTGCACATAAAGCCTTGAGAAATTAACTTTGAGCCAACTGCATAGAAAGCTTTAAGACAGGGGTGTCCAATCCTGGTCCTCGAGGGCCGCAATCCTGCAAGTTTTGGATGTTTCCCTCTTCAAACACCTGATTCAAATGATCAGGATCGTTATCAGGCTTCTGCAGAGCTTGATGATGAGCTGATCATTTGAATCGGGTGTATTGGAAGAAGGAAACATCTAAAACATGCAGGATTGCAGCCCTCGAGGACCAGAGTTTGACACCCCTGTTTTAAGGCGTCACGTGGCCATCACTGCTAATCATGCACTATTGCAACATAGATGCTGCATGGACACAGACTTCAGGCTGCACACAGATGTCCATGGAGGGTCGGCAGGGACGATCAAAAGGAGACCCTTGCAGACGCACAACGGTATTCAGGGTGCATTATTTAGAGGCCAACAAGGGGTAACCATAAAAAACAAACAAACAGCCATTTAAATTCCTAAATATGAACTTGCTTAAAAGGTTTTCCTTTAGTACAACAATTAAGCAACGTTTATCAAATTTCAGTCGCTGCTATAGTAATGTATCGTAACAGGGACTGCTCTATATTTTTAATGAGAGTTCACAAAATCCACCAATCTGATAGTCATCAATGAATACTCAAACTTAAAAGGAACTGGAAATCAAGACATTCAGATTAACTGGCTTACGTCATGGATAAAATAGTTTAGTTAGATGGTAGATACATTTTAATCAGTAACTCCTAACACATCATTCAGACTCTGCTTATTAACTTTTCTTCTGCTATAACCGTTACAATGAGCACATCCACTTTTTCTGCTGTACCAGCATTGGTCCCACTGTTGGCTACATGCACTCATCCCTTTTTCTTTTTGTTCCATCTAAACTGTTTTCTCTGCTGTGGCAGCAAAGGACTTTAGGAACCTCTCTAGCCCTAACCCCTTTGTCAATGATAGATCAAATTCATTCATACCCTCCCATTAAAGAAGGAAAAACTGTCACTGAAGTAAGTTCAAACTGACAAAAGTAAAATAAAAATTTCATGATCATGACAATGCTTTTAAATTGTGGTTCAACAGAAATATAAGTGCTCTAATTTGTCTGGGACATTTTGTTTTTTAAAAATTATTCTTTTCAACCACAATTCAAAAGCAATGTCTTATTTCACTAAATCATAATTTAGTGAATTTTTATTTATTGTTACTTTCTCAGTTTCTAGTTGTTTCAGTGACTATCGTGAATTTTGCTTTTTCTTTAATGGAAGGGTTTGAATACATCTCAGGACGACTGTTTTTCAAGTTGTTTAGACGACATCACAACAGGAGATTTTATTCAACTGTCCACATCTCATAACCGACTTAAACTGGTCAACAAATTTACTGAAGGAAAACATTTAACTAAAAGTGTGTTCTACCAGTTTGAGCCACAAGAGGTTGCTAAGTGCACCACTTTGAAGTTCTACATCAGGTTTCCTGTTGAGGTCTTGTTCACTGATGGAACAATAAGATGGCGTAGTAATGACTGTGCTCCTGTTTTGTTTGTTGTGCGCTCTACAGATATATGCGCAAAGACAAACATGTGCACATGTGAGTGACACAACACCAAGTCACCAATATTATAAAGTTATATATTAATAGTTTCAGAGACTTTGTTGTTCAAAGTGAACTTAAAGTTTTATGGTGTGGGGGGAAAAAACAGGTTAATGGGCCAAAAAAAAAAAAAAAAGTAAAAGTAAAATGTAGAACTTCACATATAGTTTTAAGTATTGATACCATCACTGGTTCAGTGCATTGGCCACATCATTGTTGTTGTAAAAATGTGCATAAGTAATGCATTTAATTCACAGACATGCTCCAAAATACATCATAAAGTTCACAAGTTGCACATCTGAGTGAAATGCTCCCAATATTGAGTCCTATTCGTAACACACTGTGCTGTCAAAATGCCCAACTGCATCCTTCAAGTAGTCATTTACTGCAGAAGTAAATATTAAGCAACCAAACCTGAAGCAAAAAAAGAGGCAAAACTAGAAAAGAAAAAAAAAAAATCACTAACTAAACTAACAGCAGGACAAACAAAATAAGACATACAGAAGGCTGATGTTAGTTAACAAAACAGGGGTACTCACAAAAAACTGCAAGGGTAAAGGCAGACCAGCTGTGGGGAGAGAGTCAGGATCAGGCAGGACAGGTCGTCACGACGAGGGCTTGGTAGGCATAGTCTGTGGGCAGGATTCCATGGTGGACGGGAAACCGAGAAGCAGCTGGAGAATCCAAGGCAGTGTGGAGACATTTCATGGTGCGATGGCCGAGGAGCAGTGGCAGGGAAACAGGTAACCAAGTCAGCAATCTGACAGAGAGTGGAGGGATGAGCTGGGTTTTATGGAGCTGTGGTGATTAGATCCAGGTGAGTCAATTAAAGCAGCTGTCACTGATTGAGCTGATGACAGGGAGAGAGAAGGAGAACAAAGAGAGACCAAGAGGGAGGACTGGGGCCGAGGCTGGGGGGTCATGACACAAAGGCCTGACAGTTTTGACATGATCAATATTCTTACCTTGTCCATGTTGTGGAGCCTCAGGTTGTCCTGTTGGTCTTTCAGAGCTCTGCTGGTTTCTGAATCCATTTGACAACAATAACGTCGCTGCGTCTTTCAGAGTTTAGTCATAAAATGGCAGACGCTGTGTTTGGACCTACAGTCGTCCTCAGATGTATTCACACCCTTCCATTAAAGAAAAGGCAACTATTCACAATAGTCACTCAAATAACTAGAAGCTGGAAAAAGTAATAATAAATAAAAATTTGCTAAATTATAATTTAGTGAAAAAAGACATTTGCTGATGAGTAGTGGGTCAAAATCCAAACAGCTGTCAACAGGTGCAGAAGTCTGATTGAGAGTTACAGAAAACACTTGATTGCAGTGATTGGCTCAAAGGGTTGTTCAACAAAATGTTAGTTTATGGGTCCCATCATGCTTGTTTGATTGGTTTTTTTAAAAATTTGTTTGTTTGTTTTTTATATTTCTGTTAAACCACAGCTCAAGCGCAATGTCATAATTTTTTAAAGAAACTTTTATTATTATTACTTTTGTCAATTTCAACTTATTTCAGTAACAGCTGTTTTTTTCCTTCTTTAATGGGAGGGTATGAATACATTTGAGGACGACTGTACATCTGATACGAATGCGTTCACTGTATTCATCTCACAGGAGTCACAGAAGCCTCTCTACCAGCTGGACAGTCTCATTCAACTGCACACATATTAACTGGTTCCTCAGGAATCCAATCTGGGCCCTGGAGTGTTCTAATTTGGCTCAAAAACTGAGTGCAGGCGTTTTCAGGAATAACCTGACATGAGGAAAACAAACAACTAACTCGAGCATTTTCTACAATTCACTTGATTGTTGTGGAAATTCTGTAAGAGGTTGATGTAGGATGAGGAGCCCGACACAGAGAGACACACCAGAGACGCAGATGACTTCGGTCAGGGGTGTCCAATCCTGATCCTCGAGGGCCACAGTCCTGCATGTTTTAGATGTTTCCCTCCAACATGCCTGATTCAAATGATCAGCTCATCATCAAGCTCTGCAGAAGCCTGATAACCATCCTGATGATTTGAATGAGGTGTGTTGGAAGAGGGAAACATCTAAAACATGCAGGACTGTGGCCCTCAAGGACCAGGACTGGACACCCCTGACTTAGATTGAAATAAGGTTTACTGAATTCAGGAGACGTGACACCAACAGAACAGCAGTTCATAATACAAGCATCAATTCTAAAGATCCCTCTCACATCCTTAGTCTTGTATCCTCCTTCAGTGGGAGCCACATCCAGATTTATGGGAGAAAGGGAAACAAAGATAAGTCGTCACCTGGGTATAATCTGGCCTTGACAGGTGCAGGGAAAGCTTGCTTGTCCTCCTACAACGTGGTTTATGAGAGGTCAAGAATGTAAAGAAGTTGCAGGGCGCACATCTGCTACAAGCACTACATTTACCTGCAGAGGTTAATCAGGGTTCAACATCTTCTCTAAAAGATGAACTCCAAATAAGGAAAGTCATTTTTCCTTCACACTGATGACTTGTCATATTTTTATTGCCTTTTAAGATTGTTACTTTTATTCAACCATGCAGGTTTTTTTTTAAATGTCATTCAACTGCATGATAGATTTTGGTGATGCATTTTTGTTTTTGTCTGTTATATATAAATAAAGTATATTTTTAGCGATTCATTTTTGTAGAAAGTGAAAAAAAGAAAGTTGACAGAAAAAAAAAAACAGTGAAATTAACATAATTTCACCGAATGATAAACATTTATATTGAGAGAGGAAGCAGCATATATTTAATTAGATAACTATTAATAATATCACTATTATTAGCCGGCACAGCATGCCAAGTAGGAACCAGTTCTACAGCTACAATTAATAATTCGGCTCATTTTGGCTTCATCTGCCCATTATTTTCTTACCTAATTAGCTCTTTAGTCTATAAATAATACAGACATATTTTATAGAATTTCCTAAAGCATACATCAACATCAACATATTTTTTCTTCTTCTTTAAGACATACAATTAAATAATATTAAACAGAACAAACAGCAAATCCTCACAGTGAAGACATGGAAATAGGTCGTTTACTTGCTTAATTACTCGCAAAATAACAATCAAGTGATTTTGGAATAACCACCACACACACAAACACAATTAGATTTTTATTGAAATTTATGTAAATTAATGAATTAAATTAAATTCATACATAAACAAATGCCAAAAATAACACTGGGAACCGTCCCTGGAAAAAAAAAATAGAAGTAAACTAACAAGTCAATTTAACATAATTTAACATATGGTGGTAGCGTGCCGATGGAACACCAGCGTCTTCTTGGACTTCATGTTTTGTTCTACAACTAGAAATCATTGAGTTGATTAATGAGGCTTGGTGACACAAAGAAAGTTACACCAAACAACTCACCACCTCCCTCCATGTTCCCATCCTGAGTTGAAATTAGGATGAGCTCACTTTAAAAGTTCTCCACACTGTTGACAACATGGTGTCACACAGTTTACCCTCAATGTATCAACGGAACAAGTTGCAAAGCTGTAAACTTTGAAGTTCAAAAGGAAGAGTGAATAGAGGCACTGTAGACAAGCCTAAATAATGAGTTGGATACTTGCTGACATTAAATTCCCTTACATGAAATGTGTGCTTTTAAAGATGGATGAATGCGGAGTGCAAAAATAGATTTTGCAATAGAAAAAAAATAAGATTGTCGCTTTGTTCTCATCCATTTTTCACACAAACACTCTTTGACCAACACATACACACACTTTTTAAAGCTTTTGTTGCCCATCAAAATGCTGAAGTCTTGAAGCACATAGGTAGTAACTCGATTCTTCTACTCAATACAGGAACTGGTGTGTTGGTGACCTTCACCAGTGAGTTTCCCTCTAATGCAGCTGCATTTCTCCATCATGAAGTATATAAAATAATTAACAGCACCCTTGTTGACCTTTATCTCACCATGAAGTGTTCCAAACTTGACCCACATCACAGTTCCCATATCTCACTTGTTATCCTGTACATCCACACACACACATACTTTCTTTAACGCAATGTACACAAGCACATACCACAAACACATCACCGACAGTGAATGGGTAAACAGACACAAAAAAGGAAGTAACACACTGACTGTAACAAACATTAAGTGACTGCATGTTTTTCATAGAAAAGGGATAAACTGGTTTGTATTGCTTTGGCCTGTTCGGTGAGCAGCCTGCTCATGTTGTCCTTCTCTGGTCGTGTGGATGCAGAAGCATCAGAGAGCCACTAGACTGCAGCAGTAAGAGGACTTGGCAGCAGGGAGAAGGTGGGAAACCTTACTGATGTCACCAGTGTCTGTCGTGTCACTTCAGTTTCCAACCATGTTTTACCACCATTTCTCCTCATCTTTCCCTGGTTTTCCCTTCTTGGCAGAGGCTTCGCATTAGAACCCAAAAGTGTCTTTTTGTGCAGTGAAGTCTGTCTCCTCTTGGTCCCATTTGCCTGGGGACAGGCACTCTTCAGTGTTGAAGTCCTGAGGGTTTACCCCAATGTCCAGGACCTGGGGGTTAGTGCGAGACTCAGCGAGTCTGGAGGAACAAAGGAAAACATGCATTTTATTACGATCTGCTATGATGGCTTCATATCATCAAAACTCTTGTGATTATCAATGATTTGTTATTTTTAAAAACAGCTTGTAAACGATGGTGGGTACGTTGTGTGCAGAATGTATAAACATAAAAATGGACGTCCTATCTGTAATGACAAGATCATGACTGGAAAAAAGCAAAGCCACATGAGGCCAGATGTTGAAAAAAATCAAAAAAAGATTCCCATTTAACCATGACAACGCAACACGAGAGCGCCCTGTTACACATACACAACGCTTGTTTTGTGCTCTAAACATGTTAGACCTACATATGAACACACACCACTTTCACTGCCATCTCTCATTCAGTGTCATGGTACTAACAGAGTGCAAAGCTGATGGATGTAAAGCACAGAGTCATACCACATTTGTGATGAGGACGTGGACACAGTGGAGGAAACATCAGGTTCTGTGGCACTGAGGCTTTGGCATGTTAGAATTGTGAAATGATAAAGATAGGGCAGTGTCCCCTTATTGTATCTTAAAGTGTGTTGAACAAAGGTTCTGAGCTATGTTAATGGAAAATGTAAATATAATGTAAAACTACATCTGGTTGAACACTGATATCCACACATATGAGCAGGCTTGAATAGTGGGTTGACTCGGGGAGAATGAGGTGAAAGTCACAATATCCAGTGAATGATATTGTTACCTGAGTAGGATTCAAAGCTATCCAGACTGCGGCTGGGGGTGCAAAGGAAACATCACAAGTCAGGTAACATTTAAACTCGGAACTCTTCTGAGCTGTCTTATCATAAAGTGCATTCGTTGATGTGGCCACTGTTTGGACTTCATGTCAAAAGGCCTACAGATGACCCACATAAGACTGGAAACTAGGGATTAATCGGAATTTACGCATAACCTATTTTGCTCTTTAAAAAACAGGAAACGTACGATACGCCGTATTTCCTCATCACTATCAACAGGCATGTCAGAGAATGGACACAATCAACACAGCCAGCAGAGGGCAGTGCAGACTCTCCAATACATGATCTCGGTAGACATATTCCAATAAATACTGTGTATGTGTGTGGGGATGTGTGTGTATATATATATAAATATATATTGCTGTTCATGGTGCAAAATGTAGTGACAAAACTGCTTATGTAAAATTTCCATTGTGTCAAAAACGGACAGACACCGAATTGTTTTGTAATGCTCCCTGCTCCTGTGATTTATAGCATGTTGAGCGGGATGTGAAGCCTTGGCGCCTGCAAACAATTACAGAAGCGCATAATCTGTCACTAGCAACACAGTCTTAAATAAGCTATATATGGTGCATGTGTTTCACAAGCTCCACATTAATTCAGAAATTTGACAATCTGACCACTAATCTCTGCTGTTCATAGTTTCCATTGTTTCTCAGTCAGAAAACAAAGTGATTTAAAGACACATAATACTCATCAATGCACAATACATTAATCTGGAGCTTATTTCAATCCTCACACAAAGCTGTATACGGCACACAAAAGGCTATGCAAACATTGTCATCCAATAATATCCTCATTCACAGACTCACAAATTGTCTCCAATTTTCTCTTCCTCTCTGACTCCGACCTCAACCGGCACAATCAGTTTCTCTTCACCAGCAAAGATGTCAACCTGGCCCTTGGGCCCCTGAATTTTTCTTTAGTTACGGAAACCAGGCGGATGCATCTCTGCTTATGCTGGGAGCATCCTCATTAATCACAGAGCGGTAGACTAACGGCGTTAGGGTGTAATTACAGTGTGTGCAGCCAAATAATCATCTGATAACAGGGCTAAAATGGCCTCTTAGTGCTTGATTACAGAGACAGTGAAGCCCTTTCTGCCTCCACTAAATGAAAGTGAGAGAATAACGGGCCCACTGTCAAATTAGCAGAGGAAATGAAAAGCAGAGCCAGAGGAAATAAATACACTAATAAAGGGTTGAATGAGTCTTTATGGCGGTCCAAAACAAATAGCTGTAAACATTTGCACTGTGCAACCTGACAGCAGACCACCGCAGCTTATCTGAGTGTTGCCGATACAGACTAAATTGAAACATTAATCACAGTGGACTCCAGCTCCATTCTGATTAGTTTGTTGACGGCATAGACAGAGTTTAAGGAATTCCAATTAGCACAGCTAATGGACTATGCCGTCAACCTCAAACTTGCAGACCTCAATGTTTCCTGAATCTTTCTCTTTATGCTTTTATTCAACTACTTGGACAAAACTGAAAATGTGTACTATACAGCAAAGAAGTAACTCCCTTTTTGGGTTTGTGATTTTAATACCAAGCAGCAGCCATTTGTAATCACAGGCTTCCTGACCTCATATGAAATCAGTGTGTGGGCCTGAGACGATGGTAAAAAGAGCCTGCAAAAGCAGCATGATTCAGGGTGGGTGCTGACAGAGTCAGGGCCTGTAAACTGAGATCGTCTCCTGTATGTGAAAGTGCACAGGGTTGAGCCAAGCTGAGGGAGAGGCAGTGTTTATTACGAGAGCAGCCCAAACTGCGGGCTGCTTTCTGCAGCATCAGTTTAGCAGAGTCCAAGCTTTAAGGAATACTCAAATTCACACTTGTCCTCACCTTGAGAAAGCCTCGTCCAGACCGTCCTCCAATTCCTGCCAAACAGAACACACACATTTGGGTTAAATATTAGGCTTTTTTTCTTAAGAAATGATAAGGTAAGAGTACATATTTAGATGAATGAGATTAGAGATGTCCATACACTCACTCACACATGCACACTCTTCTCTAGTGTTGGGAGGTCAAGCTATGTAGCCCCACACCCTCTGCAGCTATGTGACCATTAGATAAGGCCAGCTCTGTTCAATAGGCTATTGTCTACCTCAGTGTAGCAGCAGTGCAGCTGTAGAATCTGCTCCCTTAAATACAGCAGGTACAGTACATCACCGGGCACTTCAGCCATTTATTCAGTGGTTCCTGCACGGCATTCTCCTCCCGCCTTATCAAGCCTAAACAGCTACTGACCAGCCCGACTCTCGTCTTACCCATACAGTATTGTTGTTCTCTGTTGCGTGATTATGCACCATAAAGGGATCCGATTCAGACTGCTTTGTTCCTGAGTGGACCAGCGCCGCGTTGGCTCCCTCGGCCAAGTCCAGAAGTCTCCCGGTTGCTACCTCTACAAATCAAAATAACACAAAACAAGCAAACCATTTAAATATGAACTCCTAAAAACTCACAGGCAACCACCTTAACAGCTGCTTATATACACTTTTAATTTCTACAATACATCAATGTTGGTAAGTGGGAAACAAGAGAATAATAATAAAGCCATAGGCGTATGATCAGCACCTGTGATTATCATACTCTCATGCTATTCGCTATTAAGTCTTAAATGTATGTCATCAATTCAGCCATCTGTGAACTGTCACTCTGTGATAAGTGAGCATGGAGTAACCCTCTGACTCGCACTCCTAACTGCGGTGACACTGCTGATCTGTAATAGGATTGGCTCGTAATGGCCTCTCCTGATGATGAATGTGTGTCAATAATGGGTGCCAACACTAATTTCTGTTCAGTCGTTAGGTTAATGTTCTCCGCTGAGAACAGTGAAATTTCAATAACTCTTGTAACACCGGCACAACGTAAATCTGTTATCCACACTCTTCGATCACAAAACTTGACTCTCCTTAAGCGACCTTTTTGTTAGTTTTTCTGTTCCTTAAAAGAGAGGCTCACACACACAACTGAGTCAGCATGCAATAACGCTTTCATTCGAACTCTCCTCTCGGTCAACACTGGCTTAAAGGCATTTAGACGACTCTGCTGTTATGAAGAAGGCAATATTGGGGGATTGTCATTCACAGGGAAAGAGAGGATGGATCAAGGCTCATCTGATGGTAATGCCCTCTAAGTTAACAGCTTAAGTATTTGTTGAGGTGGAAGTGGCCCTATAGGAACAAACACCCAGCGGCACATTTTACTACAGCTGCAGCCGACAACCAACTAATCAGCTCACTGATAAAAGTAAACCTTAACAGGTAACTAGTCTGATAATCTATTTTCAAGCAAAAATATAACATTTGGTGGTTTCAGCTTCTCAAATGTCATTTTATTAATAATGGCAGTAAGTGGAAAAAAAAAACTGCAATTTGAATATGTCACTTTGGGCTCTGGGAAACTGGGATTTTTATGCCTTCACATTGATGCTAATTATAACTAAATTGATGTCTCATAGGATAAAATAATGAAGTGATGACATTTCATATCGAAAAGGTCAACGTCTGGACAGACACGACATAAACTGCGACTAGATTGGTTGGCAGAGGCATACAATTGCAAGGCAGGAATAATGGTTTTGCATATTTTTTTTTAAATATTGTTTAGATTAATTAGTGAATCAATTGATCAAATAATAATCACATTAAATGAAAAGGAAAATAGTTGTTAGTTACAGCTCTACATTTAACCCAGGCAAGTAAAGATAATTGACCTGAAGCAGGCAAACTCCTTCAACAATCAGGTTAACATAGGAAGTGGCGTTCATATTCTGGAGCCACTATAAGAGGCCTGGCACTGGGACAGAGTTGAAGGTATCATGTCTCATGAATAAAGCTGACTCACCTCTGACAATATCACTGATCCCGAGAGTCTCTCAGACTCAGCGGTATGCCGTCCGATCAGCCAAAGTGAAGGGCACACACATGTAACCTTCCCCAGCTCTAAAGCTCTGTTGTCCCCAATCACTGCTTTTGTGCTAGCAGTGAAAACCTGAGTCAGGACAGCTTCCACAGCACCATATATTACTCTGCTGTGTACTTACACCTATTTCCCTTATAGAAATCTAGCCCACTGGCAGCTAAATGACCCATCAAATGGTCAGTAGGATAATGTTAGTCCAAAAATGCACACCAAACCTCTCTGCTAGAAAAATCTGTTTCCAAGTCCTGCTTTGTGGATTCTTCTTACAGGGGATCATCCTTAAAACTCATGTCTGCCATGAAATGCTACACATTCAGGGCCACAGCCCCAAATAAAGTGTCAGAACAGATTTAGAGAGAGATCTCTCTCTGGCTGGAGGCCACCTGGCTGAGCAGAGGGGGAAGCTCAGTATAAAGCTGATGTTTTTAAATGTTTTTAGACTTGCCTGCAAAAAAAAAAAAAAAAAAGCATTTCCAAACTGAAACCTCCACGACCAAAAGGATGAGGGAAAATGCTAACACTGGCCTTTGGCATACAGAGTGCGACAGGAAAAAGAGCAAACATAAAAAAAAGCACAATGAGAATGAGCTAAGTGTACAGGCATTGTTCCACTGACAAATGGATGCTCCTCATCTAATTCCTTCTTAGACTGTGGACAATACATGGAACTAATAATGCCTTAAGGTTTTCTGGCTCAGTGGATGTCAACAACATGTTTAGAAGGCATGACCCCTGTCTAAAATGCTATAATCTTAGGAAATCTGACCGAACAATAGGGTCATAGAAAATGTAGGGCTCTTTCATGCTTTTTTACACAAACAGTGCTGTAATTGTGCTTCCAGAGTCAGACAGAATGCTGTGGACTGTTTGCCCACACTATAATAACAGCACTCTGTTGTCATAAAATGTCAAGGGAACTGCTGAACCAAGATTTGTTTTCATGGATCCACAAAAACAGCAACGGGGCGTTAATGTTTTCAAATTAAAGAGACCATCATCATTACCATTATCATCATACATAATCATCTAAAAATGTCATTTGCTGTTCATTGTAATGATGTTAGTGAGACATAATAATCAAGAGAACGTAGACTGTTGTCAGCTGACCTGCAGCCTCAATATAGGCCAACCTTTGACAAGTGGCTGAATACTCTTCCTTCCCCTGAGGCTATGATTGCTGTGACAGAGAGGGTGAGAGAGAGAGCAAGAAAGACGTGATGATGGGTGACATGACTCACCTCCTCCCTTCAGGCTGCCCAGGCTGGCCGAGCTGTCCGACGGGGGGTTGCTGGCTCCTTCCCCATCTGAACCTGACTTTACTCGCTTCTCTTTCTCTGTGTACGCAAAAGGTAGCGGAAGAAAAAAAGGGAAGAAAAAGAACGAAGAGCGGTCAGTGAAGACAAGCAAGGTGTGATTCAGGAACCTGTAACCACAGTGTGAGTGCACTTGCAGAGCATTGCTAAAGGAACTGGGTTTTTTTTTTTCTAGCTGCTGAAAATGTGGGTATTAAATGTTCCGCCAACCAAGCATACAATAATGGGTGTAAACTAATTAGCGGCAGTAAATTGGCAGATAAGGCTGAGGCCATTACTCAAGCCATCTGCCAGATGAGACCTACTGAAGAGGACCTGACTGGGCTTCAAAGATTGTTACACACAGCGGTAAGTGTAGTCTATTTAAACAAAATAAGCATGGCATCGGAGTCAGATGGACACGTAGCTCTGTTCACTCCAAACACTCTCCTCTTGAGAAGGAGTGCAGGTCAAAAAGTGCCATTGACAACAGCTTTCATTAGACTTCCTGCACAACATTGCTCTGGTAAGCTCAGTCTGTCAAAACAGGTTCAGAGTCTGTAATTACCAGGCAATTTAGAATTGTGCCTTGGAACTGCAAAGAGAGTTAACCGAGGACTTCTACCTCAGAGTGGGACCAATTCATTAACTGGGACTTAAAGCAAGGAACAGGACTACTTGTGAGAGAGTCTGATGGTGTTGTTGTTTTAGATGCAAAAATATGATGACAAAATTGATTGAAACATTACAACTGAGTGCAACTGTTGCAGACTGAAAACTAAATCTCTAAATAAATAAAAGCAGTCAGCAACTTGTCTCAGCTGTGCCCCATCCAACCATATTACTTCACATTTCTTATAAGAGCGTTGCTGCACATTGCACATATTGCATAAGATCATGTTGCAAGTCCTGGGTGTTGTGGCACACCACTCCATGAACAACATGGAATATCTCTCCTCCTATGTCTAACTCAACTTTCAGCTATACTCTACATGAGCAGCAGTCTACATAACTAAAATTGTTAGTTTAGCAAAATCACTCGGTCTTGAAAGGTTTGTAACAACATGAAAACACAGTATATTATTACACTAAAACACATTCTTTGAAATACTGCAACCCCATTTTTAAAAATAAACTACTTAAGAAAATATGATTACGTTAATTATGCAGCTAAAATTAATGCTTACTTCAGTAAGTTCTAGACAGTCCTCAAAAAGAACCCTTGCTGTGAGCACAGTGTCTTTAACATTTTTACCTTCAAAATGTATTGGTTGGAAACTTCTTTGATGCACAGCCACATTTTTGTTGCTACAATGAAGTGTAACATCATCGTACATTATGAGGACATTAGTCCTCCAGGGACAGCATGTACTTTGTTTTCACTCATAGTCCCATAAGTGAGACCAACATGTATCACTCTGAGACTTTGTGCATCATTAGTGATTTTTTCACCCTGACATTCTTGATAAATACAGGCCCAGACGTTTTTATTGACTACGTTTTTGGAGTGTACTCACAGTGAAAACACCCATCTCTGTCTTACCTAAAAGTATCATCATTTCTCTGCCATGTCAAGTTAGCAGATGTTCAAGCAAATGAGGAATTCACACAGAAAAATCTTCTGTCACAGTGACAAGACCTTCTGTGCCACCGTGATAACTCCCTGAGCGGCTAAGACGCTGACTCACCGTAACTCAACCCTGTGGCTGCCAATGAAATGTCCATTTCTGTCTATGCTAAAGAGATCTGCTTTCACCAAAGAGACACTTTTTTTTTTTATTTCATCACCATTTCCCATGAGCCGAGGTAGCTTAGTGATGGCAGTGTTCGAAGCATTTCCCTGGGCGCCTGCTTTCCCCTCATGGCCTTGCCAGTGTGCAGTTTTCAGTCTGACTAGAGTATCAAGCTTCTGCTAAACATGGAAGCAACTTAAAGATACGCCACTTCAAAGCTTGCTTTAGTTTACAGTGAATATTCTATGAGCGCAGATTTATGAACAGAAGATGGGAGCTGTAATATACAGAGGAATGTGGGTCAGGAATGTGTGGTGCGCTGTGGAGAACCACTGTGGGTGGTGGAGGAGAGTTTGTAAGTAACAAGCAAACGAGACAGATATATAGTGGAGACCCTCTGTTCCTGCCATGATCCTTCGGGGGTCTTGTAACTTCAATAAATCTGACTCAAAAGATTTTTTTCTTCTTCATATCTCTCTTTCTTCTTCTGTGTCACAAGAGAACACCATTACTTCTTTCTGAAAAATATTGCTTCTTTCCCCTCCATAACCCCCAAGCAGAAATGGGAGAACCACGAGTAAAGGAAATGTCAAATTAAAGAGGATACTACGGCTGCCTAGAAAACTTGGGGAAGAGGAGAGGTGAAAAGTGGTGAGGGAAGAAAAGCGAGACGGAGTGTGTGTGTGGGGGAAAGAGGAGTGAGGTTAAAATGGAAGAGGGCTGTCTGCACTTAAATATTCAACTCAGAAGCACATTAAAAAAATAAAAAAAAAAAACAAATGAAGAGGCATGAGGCAAGGAGTCTGTGGCCTTGATCTTGAAAAAAAAATAAAAAAATAAAAAATCCCTTCCCGAAATGGAAATGTGCCCACATTAAAACATTCCAAAGCAACGCAGTAGTAGACGAAGAGGAAGGGGTAGAAATGTTGCGAGGAAGAAAGAGGCGGTTGGAATTTTCATACAGTGCAAGCGTGTCTCCAAAGGACTGAATAAATAAGCGTGCCTTCGCATGAGACAGGATCAATGGCACTGACATTGAATCTGTCAGGGGGCTGAGCTCCCACTGACACACGCACACAATCATTTTCCTTTCTCTCTTACACACTTGCCATCCCCACACCCCTCTCTGCCCCGCCTTTCATGCTTTCTTGCCCTCTCTTCTCCTCATCCCCATCCCCCTCCGCCACTCTCCTCATCTCCCCCACTCCTTACAATAAACAAAAGCGGGTGCTGGAATGAGGATGGCGAGGGGGAAAAAAAACAACAACAACAAAAAAACAACTCAGCGGTGCACACAAGGAGGTTGCAGGTGCCAAACAAAACAGAAAGCTACAATTGATAATCACAAAAATTCAAAGAACACCTACAAGGCAGCACACATGTAAAGATGAGGAGGATGACTGGGGGGGGAGGTTGGTGATGCAGAAACCGATATTATGTGGTAAGAATTGCTCACTTACACTGGAGTCATACATGCAGTAAATTACATGCATGTTCTGCTGAGCTGTACGGAAGAATGAGCTGCTTTTGTGTGACACTATCCTTACACAGCACTTTCATTACCTGCTGTGTCCACGGTTGTGCCTGAACATGCACACGGTTGCTTATCTCAACTCCGCTACTGAAAATTCTCACAAATTCAAAGTGGTTGAACGCTTCGCAAGTTTGACATAAATCAGAAAAAATATATAATGAGTAGTGTGAAGATAAAATAAATTGAGAGAAAGCCCCAGTTTCCACACATCTGAGTACTGAGATCACTGCAAAGGCAACAGAAGATTTACCCCAGTCAGTCCGCCTCTGCCCCAGGCTAACCTTAATTCCTCAGCACCCCTCCCCATGTCAATACCTAGATGAGTCTTTAACCATGACTGAGTTGCCTGTAATAAAGTGGCGTCACTAAACTGAAACAGGTCTCTCAGCTCTCTGGGCGATGATTTAACCGCTGTGGAGGGAATAAATGGGAACATTCCTGTATGTGTGAGAGTGTGAGGGAGCAGTGACTGACAGGAGTAGCCAAACAGTTCTCCAGGGTTTCACATGACCTCTTGAGAGAGTGTCAAGGCCACGACCAGGAAAACATGAGAAAATGTGTGTTTTTATGTTATCTGGGAAATTTCAGATGAAAGGTAAGATTTCAACAAGGAAGATAAAGAATTGGTACAGTAAAAGTAGAAAACAACAATGAGGATGAGGACAGGAAAGATGAGAGAAAAGTATTCACTCATCCGTCACACTCTGGTCGTCGGGGGCAACCATGCGTACCTTCCTTGGCAGCCTGCCAGAATTCAAACGCCACTCTGAACGCCTGAGCCACCGTTAGGGTTACCGCCTGAGCCTGTTAGGAAGGAGGCAGAGAAACAGAGAAGAGTGAGAGATGAATAATACCCATCTCATCCACAGGAAGGAACATCCAGGAGGGCTATGATACAAACAGGAACCAACCACCAACACAAGAATGTCTTTACAGATACATGAGGAGAAGGAAGAGAAACCCGTGGACTCCATGACAAGTTGTTTACGTAACTGGGAGGATACGTGGCCTTTTGGCCACAACTAAATTATTGAGGGGAAGGAAGAGGAGGGAGTGGCTCACTCATTCAGCAAACCTCCAGGGATGGGGAGAATGCCAGAAGAGGGTTGACAGCCTCCTCGCCCTTCATGCTCTCACTCCTTTCTTTCTACTGACTTAAAATTTGGATATTTACATGAACACAAGTAAACGTGACTTTTAGTAGCAGTGCAGTTGTGCTCAGGTGTCTATACAACATACTGCATCTGTATAAAATGCTTTTCATGGACTGGTAGGAGCACAAATTTAATCTAACACCTGAGTGCAAAATCTTTAAAAATCTTTAGCGTGGGTTCATAGCTACAGTGTGTAATCTTATTAAGCTATACATTTACTAACATATAGCCAGTGACATTAAAGGAATAGTTCAACATTTTTCAGAAACATCCTTATTCACTTATTAAAAGTCTTCTCTGCTGGATGCTCCTAGTGCGAGCTCCTGCACATGTTTACAACCCTATTCATGCCATTTCCTCTCCCACTGCTTTTGGTCAAAACCCTTGGGCAAATCTTGCGGCTAAATCTTGCTGGGCAGAATCTGGTCTGACCGCACCCATAGATGTGCTGGTTGCCAGTTTCTGTTAACTTGAGAGCTTTTCAGTCTTGATGCTAAGCCGAGCTAACAAACGGTTTGCTGAAGCTTCATGTTAAATAGACGCATTCAAGAGACATTTCATCTTAGTATCAGCAAGAAAACTGATTTCTAAAATGTTAATATATTCCTATAATTTATAAATAAGAAATAGGAATGACAGTAAAAACGTTCAACTCACATCAACAGTCTATTTGACTACTTTGTGTAAACAGTCTTCTTGTGCACACAGCTGGTGTCTCAGAGACACATGATTACAAAACTCATTTACTCACCATTTTTCTCTTAGAGCAGAGGAAGGCATGACACTCCAGAGTCTCATTGTGCTGGCTCTGGACAATGTAGGCAAACACTTTGTCATGCATCTTGTCCGCAGTGCAATATGATATTCTGAAACAAACACAGACAGAGAGATGCAATGACTTTAAAAAAAAATCTCTAATACTTTATCAACTCATCAGAGATCAAGTAGGGCCATTGTGAAACTTTATCTGCACTAAGCCCTTAAGCCAGTCCAGCAATCTGATTTAAACTGTTCAATCTAGCATTTTTCTTAATCTATTATAGAAAAAAAAAATCTCTGCCTGTCATTCTGAAAGCCAGCTGCACTCACAATCTCAGCACTGTTCACATGATCAAATACACGCTCCTGCTGTGAGCAGGTACAGAGCTGAACAATGTCGAGAATTTGAACAGAGCACATGCACAGTGGACATCTGTGCTGTTCCACCAAAGACATGCCATTCCTTTCTGTTACTACATCACACACCCACTGTGTCCACCCGTGACACACACAGTGTTCAAAATTACAGCTTTTAGATTGGGCCTTGTCCCTGTAAAATACATAAAAAGACACAGACAGAAGTGATTGTTCCTATCTTTTTGTGGTGTAGAAGGTCATCTTGATGGGAGATTCCTCTGTGTTGTGTGTGAGAGGTATCAGTCTCGCTTGTCAGTCTCAGGTGCAGAGTGCGCTTTTAAATTACACCATCACGCTCTACAAATAGCTTTCCTCCACTGTTTGATCATGATGCCATTACTTTAATACCAGAGTGATGAGCACATTGGCCAGTTGGGGAGGGATACCCAAAACGGTGGAGGGAGGCTATAATGAATGTCTGCCATCTGTCCTTTCTTTCTCCTTCACGCACCAACACTGTGCACCAACTTTACTGTGGAAAAGTCACACACTTCGTTAACTAATGACTAAGCATTATAAGGCGTGGAATAATGAAATAAATAAATAAATAGAAGTGCAGGAGTAAGTTTGGGGAGGAGAAGAATCACAGCTGTGGTCTGCACAACACAGCCGAGATTTACGGGCAAACGTTTGGGCGGGAAGGCATTGGGGAAATTGGGTGTCTAGGCAGATCCATTTCTTTTATTGGTCGTTCATTTTCTTAGCAGATGTCTGGGGAGCAGAGCTCCGACGAGGTGCGAGATACAACCAGCTGTTTTATGTCTCCACGCCATCTTGGAGGTCACAGCTGGACTCACCTAACGCAATCAGCTTTTTAATTGCTACGGCTATAAACTATCCATTTCATATTCTTCAGATGAAATAATATATAATCAGTGCAGCATTTTACTGGGAATACATTGCAGAACGGAGGCTTGGTGTTGATAGTTGTGAAAAACACACAGTCACTGTAGCTGAAACCATTAGTCTGGAGGTTTTCAAACAGTGAGTCACACCTTCCAAGCTAGGAGTTCTATAGGGGGGAGTAGGGAGAGATATGAGGCAAAGATACTGTGTGAAGTGATGATGACAAGTGCTGACTAGATTTAACGTACTGATGTGAACACACAGACTTGATACATATATGGGTGGTAATACAGAGTAACCCATTTTACGATACTGTCACAAGACATTGCCCACAATACAATGCACTGAGTATCGCAGCATCAAACTTGAATCATCTATTATACATCACAGTATCTGTGTTACTGAGAAAGAAAAAGAACCTCTAAAAAAGTCAAAAAGCAGGACTTGTATATTTACTCACTGTAATTGGGGGTCAGTGTGTGTACTATCATTATTAATCAGTTTTAGCCATGTGTTAATTCAGTTAGTTCTCTGATTTGCTTTCCTCCGATGTCTGCCATTTTGTTGCTGTGAGTTCAAGTGCCACCACAAGTAGCAACTCATGAAACAGCTATCTATTATGTGTTGATAATGCATCGGCTGAGGGAATTGTATTATATATTGCCGTATCAGTATTTTGTCCCATCTCTAATACCCATATTCTTAGGTTCAATGTAAAGAACCTTTTCCCAGGGTATCATTATCTCACTGTGTCCACTGTAAATAAACATTCATTAATCTGCTTAGTAATCACAAAAACAACAAAACTTTGCTTAAGAATCATTTAAATTTCTTTTTTTTCAAAATCAAAGTCATACAGTATAGCTATGTGTACATCTACATCCATTGCAAACAAACTGTAAACACCTCGTTTTGCATTCTTCTAATGGCTCAAATTAAAACAAAAATGCAAACAAATAGAGACAAAAAAGAAAAACAGTGTTGAATTTGTGGAGTACAACATTCACTGAATCTATAACAACATTATATTTCCTGTTTACTTCCCCAAAAGCCTGCTTTGCTTTTTTTGGTTAAGTATTTCTTGTTTCTGGACCACTGGTCAGACAAATCATGCAAATTGAAGAAGGGCTTAAGGAGGAATTTTCCATATTTTCCTGACATTTTAAAGACCAAATAAAGAATTGATATTAATGTGTTTTGATGCACTTATAGCTTGCAGCAACACATCCTCCTAATTCAATTTTTTTTATTATCTCGGGCTAAGACAGTGACATCTGTCATTTGGCTTTACCCTTTGATGGATCTTTGTGAAAATGTTACTCAAGTTTAGTTTGGGGGAAAAAAAAATATTCGAAGAGACTAGATTTTTACTATAAACAATGTGCATGCTGGAGAAGTTCATCTTTTCTACCACAGCTGGGTTGCTCAGCGATGAGCAATACAAAACTGAACAGGTGGGAAGACTGAAACTTTCCTTCAAAATAGCTGAGCATCTCAAGGTGACACAGGAAATCTGGAAACATGGTCAGTGCAGACAACTTGTCAATCAAACTCTTCCAGGATACCTTAAAAAGACTGTCAGCAAGTGGAACTTCGTCCTCAATCTGCCAGGTTTTAGAGGAAATTATTCAACATAAGCCCATTCATGCTTGAAAAAAAATGATGGAAAGTCCCATCTCTCCTTGATATGTAGACTCATAAATGTGGAATTTTAGAAAAGTGATTCAAGCTCAGCTCATAAGCTCCAGGCCAATGGAGGTTAGGCAGCTTTCAGCATGCAGGCTGTGGCAGGCAAGTGAGATCTGTTGGCATTTACTCTGGAGAGGACAAGCGTGCGTGTGTGTGTGTGTGTGTGTGTGTGTGTGTGTGTGTGTGTGTGTGTGTGTGTGTGTGTGTGCGTCAGTCCGTGACACCTGAGGTAAAAGCCCAGACATACAGCTGTTGTAGTGCTCCCAAGAGAGTTGAGATTGATGAGACATACTGCTGATAGACTGACTACTCTCCCTCTATCACACACACATACACACAAACAGAAACACTTGAGTGCTTTGGACAACCACACACCTCTGAACATTCACATCCATCTGGTGATAAATGAGCACGAGAGGGAAATAACAACTTTTGTTTTACTGTGGGTGATAAGGACAAGCTTAAGATGAAAGTATTTCATAATGAGGAAGGCTCAGTTGAATCAGGGACACCGAATGTGTGAGAAATGTTAACCAGTGCCCGAGGTGTAGAAAGAGAAATACTGACCTGTATATGGAGATATTTTCTATCAGCTGGTTTGAGGCACTGTCATAAAGGATGATTCCACGAGGGGAGACCGTTAATGTGACTTTCTGGAGTTTTTTTCCACTGGCTTTGGCCTGAAAAGAACGGATTTAGGAGGCAGAAGGGGTGGAGGCCACAAAGAGACAAGAGGGTGTGTTAGTGAGACTGCAAAAGATAAATTAGTCTGGTTAAGTGTCAACCTTGTGCTTAAATTGCAACTTTACAGCAACCAAACAATCAAAATCCACTTAAGCCAGTGACAGCAGTATACAAAAAAAGTCATGTTGCAAATCAAATTTCCTGCAGTCAAGCTTCATCTCAGAGTGTGGTCAAAAAAGGCCACAGAAAATAACAAGTTAAAAGTTGACCGATGTGACAGAACCTCAAAGAGGGAAATAAGAAAACAGTTTAAAACTAGAACAAACCAGTGAGCGAGTCAGAGTTCATCATGCATTCAGACTTAATTCATCAAGTCTTTTACTTATTACACAAAATGACAAGTTCCAATAAACATAGCCCATTCAGCAGCCTAACATCCTTTTTTAGAGGGATACCAAGGGCAGCCAACAGATTAGGCCACATCAGAGCCTCTGCCTTCCTCTCCATACATCACCATGCCCCAAGTCCCACCATTCTGCCACCACTAACTTCATTATCCACTGAGCTGCCAGATCCAATAACATTAAGCCTTTTCTACCATGATAAAGCTGGCTGAGCCATACACTGAGCAACAGTGTCCACACTAATTGCATCCTCCTCTAAATGTCAACCTGGGCCTCGAGGGGGAAGCAGGCAGCCAACCAGTCACTTTTCACCAAGGTGTCATTCAGGCCATAAGAGGAGAAAACTACTGGATGAGTATGATTGTCAAGTGGCAGAGGTAATGATGTGGAGAAAATATTATATATGCTTGAGAGAAACTCATTTTCTCAGAATAGTTTTTTTGAACAGAGGTGCATTTAAAAAAAGACTTGGGGCGCCCTGTGTTTAAGCTACTTTAATAAGTATGTGTTTGCTCTCACCGTAGCCACTATCCTCTTGACAGCTGCTGCAGACAGCTCCTCTCCTTTGGGCTGCTCTACCATCGTCACCCCCAGGTACTTGAGGTGGAACACCATGCCTTCCAGTAGGGTCTCTCTCGTGTCTGTCCAGTTCTCTGGAAGCTCTGCAGGATGAGACACACACATCAGTGACACTTCTGTTCACGCTGCTGTTTGGACTGTAAGGCAGGCTGAAAATCCTCATGTCAGCATGGCACCGGATTCCTCCAGTCTGCACGTATGACGTTAGAGAAAGCTACATTAGATATGACAGCAGGCAAGACATGTCCTCATTATGGGTGTGTGCAATGAGCGCATGCTTTTCCAATTCCTCCTTGCACAACGGCAAACATGCGGTCCTCTAAAATGTATAATGCAAAATATACAGATTGTTACAGTTTAATTTGTGAACAGATTTTGTGCAGATTTTACAAACTGATCTCTTTGGCCTCCAGAGGTACAACTAACTGGAAAAGCAGGTGCACATATAGACTACAACAACACATATTTTCAACATTGGCACGCTACCTTCACTTTCTAAAAGTCATGTATGACTTTCACTGTTGCATTAAGAATATTTTTTCTAATAAATAAACATTCAACTGTAAAAAATAATTATTAAAAAACAATTTTTAGCCCATATTGCAAGTTGCAATTACATTTCCTGTCCCTTTAGCTGCAAACAGCTGAGTTAAAGCTAATTTTGCCCAAACCAAGACAGTGAATTGTTTATATAAAAGCATATATTTTACATTAAAACATATAATCATAAAATTAACGTTTCATTCGCATAAGTCCCCACATCGACTGGTGTCTGCTCGTATAACAACAAATCACAGGCGTTCTGAGCCTGCATTAGATCTTGAACACTGAGCAGCTTTTAAACAAAAAAGCTGAGCAAATAAGGCAGCAGTTGGATGAGCAGCACAAACAAAATTTCCGAGTGGAAGTTCACACAAGTAAACAACTGCTTTGTCACTATTTAGTCATTTGCTCTAACAATAAACACCCCAACTTCTCCTTGAAGCTCATAAAAGGTTTATGGACTTCCCACTATGTGATGTGATTGAGTAGGGGGGGGCAGAGACAGTCCGTTTGTTTTCTCCAAAGGACCGCTAGAAAACATTATCATCAACAATACCACCCGCACCACCCTGCAGTTCTCATGGCACCCAGTATTTTCAAGGTGAAATAAACAGGAGCCTGTTGTCGCTGTCACTGCGGTTTTGTCCAAGGAGCTGTGCAGCCATGTCTAAATGGTAGCAGGTTTGTGTTTTCCATAGTTTTAGTGAGCTTAAAATCCTGTGTTACCACAATAAATGTTTGTAAGGAAGTCAGTGCTCACCGAACGAGAGCTTGAGCTTTAAATTTTGCACTACAACTGCAATAACTAGTCACCACTGACAGACAAAACAAAACTTAAAGCAACAATGTCAAAAACTCAGTCTGTCCTGCCTCTGAAATGTTACTATGATTTGATTTTCTGTAATTGTAAACAGAGTATTTTGGGGTTTTGGACAACTGGTCAGACAAAATAAGACATTTAAGTGTGTTAACTTGGGCTCTGAGTAATTGTGACACACATTTCTAACAATTTGCAAACAATTAGTGAAAAAAAAAAGAAAAAAACAGCCTATTAGTCTAATACAGTCCATTAAACTGACAAAATAATGAGCTGACTGATTGATAATTACAATTATCTGCTATCACTCAATAAAACTTTGATTTATTTCCTCAATTACAACTTGACTGCTTTGATTTTCTTTGGCAACACATGTTCTAATGCAGTTCTTAATTAGCAGGCTAATTTTCAGCACTGTAAAAGCTGTTTGTTTTCGCCACTCAACCGTTGCAGTTTTTATTGAGCAAATCCATTCCTGAGTTAACAAATAAATCAATCACTGACAATTATTATGGCTGACAGTCAAATAATAAAACAGACTGTATTAAATAAGCATTTAATTGGAAAAAAAAAACAAAAAACATCTAAACGAACAATCAAAAAATTCTCCATCTGGTTTTGGACAATTATTCAGTACTAGTATTTTCAAAGCTTTCATTGGGAACAGCATCACTCTGCTTAACACAACATTTAGGGAACATAAACCATCTGAAAAAGGCAGCAGAGGCTAAATTCTAATACTCCTTTCTTCTCAGGCCAAACCAAGCTAAATGTGAGTGGTTACGGAGAATGGTTTTTAATGGTCTAAATGTAGCTCTAACCTAACCCATACTTAAGTAATGGGTGAGTCTCATGGTGAACACCCACTCCAAGGTCAAGGTCTTTGAGCTCCTAAGTGTGGGGAACACATCGGGTCGTCCCTCCTCTGCTGATCCCGCAGTTACATGAGTGCCTGGATAAGTAACACCCTTACTGTAATAGAATCTGTGGTGAGGAAGCACAAGCTGCTATTCATGATCTAAATCAAGTTACCAAGTGGACTATAAATGTCCATTACGAGGCGTAGCCACTTCAGACATTTGCACAGTCACACAAATATGATGGGGATAATGCTGGCTTCACCTTGGCTAGCATGACACCTCTAACCTTTAGCTCTTGCTTGTGTTTGCAAAAGCGACAGTGAACCTTCAGTCCAGAGATTTTCAGTGTTTACAAAAGGCAACCTTGCTGACAGGTCTGCTCCGCTGAATTTCAACATACTGTCAGATGTGCTTTGAAAACGCTCTGAGTGATTCAAGGCTTTAGGAGAGATGTCAGTCACATAATACACACAGCTAAAGCAGCAGGCTTGTGATGGTCCGACAGAGATTTCAAAAGCACGCCGTTCTACTTCAAATGCCCATATGATGCTTGCAGGGTGTAAGTCTCTCGGGATGACCAGCAGTTCATCAGGACTGCAGACACTTAGGTATTCTCCATCCCAAGAGAATTGGAGAAGCCTACTGCAAGTATAGATGATGGGAGATTTTAGTATGGGCTGCAAAAATAGATGAGTAGATGAATGTGAGTAAGCAATGAAAAAACAGCTTTCTTTAAAAACTGACATGGTGGCAGTTCAAATGAAGAACTCATGAACTGGAGCTATTTTTAGAGTGGTGCATATACCCAGAGTACTGCTTTGTGTGCATTAATAATCCATTTTCATATTGGTCACATTTGCATTCGCACAACCAACCAGCCCCCCACCCACCACTACCAGGCACAGCCCCCTCCGCAGCAGCTCTCTGCAGCTGTGATGCTGATTAGAACCAACTTCAAAGGCTTCTTGGCTACGCTGGAGCTCTGGCTGGTCAGTGAGAGCTGCTCGCCTGGGTGACACCGCTTGTAAATAAGCCTCAGAGAGCAGGGGATGGAGCACTGATGCTGGCTGACTGGAAAGGGATAGGATGAGGGGGGGGAAGCAGGTAGGGGGCCACAGCTGCTGCCAACATCAGTGAGCATATTAAGTGTGAGGGTTTGATTAGCCAATCATCTTCAAAGGATGATGCGGATAATAAACCGGGGTGGTGCATTGTGTCTTGCTGTTGTTTTTCAAGTCTTCACATGCCCAGGAGCCTACACCCTGATCTTCTGGGAAACTTCATAGAGTTTGTGTCTACCCACACACAAACAATAACCACAGCAACATGCAAGAAAAAAGAGGGAACTATGTGCTTCAGAAGACTTAATGAACAGAAATACAAATCAAGAAGTTGCTGGTTTACCACCAAGCATCTGTGAACCTAGAATTGCCAACACCATGAGAATCTTTTCAGTGGTGGGTTTTTCAAATGCAGAATTAGTCAAAGAGAACAGTGAGAATTACTGTTGCTCCGCTGCTGGAGCATTCGCATGAAAAACACAAATGGAAGACTTGGGCTTAGAGTTGCACAATATTGGAAAAACTTGACACTGGGAAACTTCCTTGTCAGACTTCTCATCGAGGTTCCAAGCAGCTAACGCTTCTCTCATCCTTGACACCATGTTCCGACTTATACGATCATTTGGAGAAAATGCGATTTACAAACTGAATTTTTTTTAACAGGAAGTCCACATTAACAAAGTGGACGGCAGGACTGATGGAGGGCTCCAATGTCCGGCGAGAACACACGTTGACTGTAGCTGCACAATATTACACTGCAACAGCTCTGTTTCAGCTTGTGTCTTGCATTTATCAAACAGCTCTGGGATGGCAACTTAGGGAAAAATATTGCATACCACTTGTCAAGCCACCGGATCGTGTTTTTAAAAATCTCTTTGGTAACTATGTGAATTAGTGTCACGTCTTTTTCCGAGGTGAAAACTTATTGCATCAGTGATTTCATTCTACCATTGCAAACCTTTCTCATATGGTGTAACAGTGACAAAGGCATTGAAAATGTTTTTTTTTTCTTTTTGCTTTGGAAGGAATTCAGATTTGGCTTTGCTGTGCCAATTTAAATGTTTGAAGAAATTAGTCGTGTTGACCAATGTTGTGGCAATGATGGCAAGGCAGTAACCAATGATGGCAGTACCTGTTTTTGGTCAATATCATCCTTTCAGTAGCCAAGATTTTACCGCACAACTGTGGTTGAGTTTCTTTTTGCAACCAGATCTTCCTTTTTAGTGTTTCACTACTGTTGTTGCTCATTTCACTGTACACATGTGGAGCCTGCATATGGAGTAGTGAGAGTGCCAAATTACAAAAATAAATCAATAAAAAGAATACAAAAATAAAAGTGGAAAAAAAGAAGAAAAGAATAAAAATGAATTATTATAATAATTTAATATTATTTTTTTATTTTATTTTATTTATTTTTTTTATTGTATTTTTTTTTCTTTTCTTTCTTTTTTTGTTTTTAAGGCGACATTTAAATTAAAGCGACTTTTTCTTTTCTTTTTTTTGCTTTTAAAGCGCACCTTTTTTTGCACATCTTTCCTTTGCTTTTACATGTTGCTTTAAATTAAATGTCGCTTTAAAAGCAAAAAAAAAAAAAAAATAATATACTGTGCAGTATTACTTATATAAGAAAACACATTGTAAGACAGATGTTCTTCAGGCAGCCTAGGCATATAGTATTCATTAACATGTCCGATATTCACACAGCAACCTGGGGGACTTATAAACACAGTGAGAATGTAGACCTTTCTCAATCAGTGCGCTTGTCTATACTTGTGTTTTCATGGACTTGTAGATCGACCACA